TTTATCACATAATAAAAACTTATACCGGGCAGTTCTTGTGGTAATACCAACGCTCTCATTTGGGCAAGAGGGAAATGCAGTGAATTTAAAAGAACTTCAGCTGGTCAAAATTGATTCTGCCTGAAATCTGCCCAGTTTCACCTGGCAGCCTTTTGAGAGAGTGTGCAGGTCTTTTGAAGCTTCACACAGAGGGTGAAGGTCAGTCCATACCTAAGTCCTCGACTTTGTTTGGTGTTTCTTAGCTTCAAACATCACTTCTGAATAGAAACAGAGGCATTTATTCTGAGGAAGAGGTGAGGGTTTGCACAGGATATCAGCTGGCCAGGGCTATCTTTACTCAAGGAACCCCTGTTTCTAAAATCTGCTGGGTTTTGTTGGGGTTTTTTTGATCCCCAGAGGGAAATCTGTGCTATTACTTCCTTTTGCACATGGCCCAGTGTTTTTAGCTGACTTTCCACCCTGCCAGTCACATAACTGAGATGATGCCAGTACAGAAAATACCACATCTTGCAGAAAACTTATGCCTCAGACACTTCATATGGGAGCACCACACGTGAGGGTTACCTGGAGGAGCTGCTGCCTGCCTTTGGGATGTCTGCCCTGGACATTTGGGATGGGGTGAGATTTATCTACTGGGCTGGCTTCCCCTCTTCTGTGAGATTTTAATCAGCTGTGTCTCTGCCCTGTTTTCAGATTGGTGCCACCAAGAGAAGCATCTGCCATAGCTGATGGGAAGAGCTGCATGCATTGCTGTACCCAACAGCAACAACCTCTTCCCTTTTAATGCAACTCATTGTGGGAAGCCTTTACTGATGGCATCACACCCTTGTTTTCACCAGGATGGGAGGTAAGGAAGATCTGAAAATCTCATTTCACATGGCCCACCCAGCCCTGTGGTTTTTCTCTCCACCTCTTGTCTCAGTAGCCTTGAGCTGCTTCTTGGTGTGGGGGCTGCCAGTGGTGATGGAGAGATGTGCTCATCTCTTGCCAAAGATGTTTTTCATGTGACCACAAACCCAGAGCAATCCTGTAATGCTCACTCTTCCCTGCCACTTCCTCTCTCCTCCCAGTGTCCAGAAGTGACCTTGCAGAGGCCATTTGCAGGTTTTTCAGGCCTCCAGCAAGGTTATTGAGCCAAATAATTTGGCTTTCTCTCCAAGTCTTGTCTCTAACTGAAATACCTCAGCATGGACAATGTGCCAGCCATGTGGGCCTTCAGCCTGGCAAAACACAGGTTGTGTGCAAGATTCTGGGTGCCCTGAAACCTCAGTGCCACTGTTCCCATGTAACCTGAACTTATAATTTCTATCAAGGGAGCTTTGAATTAAGAGGAGCCTGTGGTATTCTTTAGGGATGAAAAGGAGGATGTCAGAAACCCCAAGCTGGCCCCAGGCTGTTGGATATCCAATAAGTGCTGGCTGATGGGAAGAGAGGACGTGGGATAGTCTCTGTGGGGACCTTCTCCCTTCTTTCCACTCCTTTGGCTCTGTGCCTTTTGCCAGCACTTTCCATATCTGTCATCCTGGTGACACTCTTGCCAGATTTCTCCCTTGGTGACAGACACGGTCATCAGACTCACCCAGCAAAAATCTTGCCCTGGTTTGGCTCAGGCCCTAACTGGTCACCATTCCCAGCCCTCCCCCAACCCCTGCAGAGATTTCCATGCCCACAGACGCCCACGGCTCTTCCAGACTCCCAAGCAGCCCTGTGAACCAGTTGCATCCCCACGTTCCAAGGGTTTTCCCTTTCCTCCAAATGACTCAGGGCATATGGGGATAAGAGGCCCTTTCTTCTAGAAGGCTCCCAAACACATTGGAGATGTTGCAGAGAAGGACAAAAGTCATCTGGAAATTATTGTGTTGTTGGTAAAAAATGTAAAATATTGCAAAGTGGGATTTGTCTTCCCAAGGGAATGGCAGGCTGTCTCAAATATGGATCCCTCCCACCTATCTTTGGACAGATTGACTCACCCTGTGAGGGTTCTTCTTTCTCTTTCCATCAGATACATGCCTAGCTTAGGTGGGCATTTAACTTGGAGGACCTTTGAAGGATTCTATATTATCTTAATTTCTCTTTTCAGGAGGGTTTGGTGCACTCTGTAAGTCAGATAGTGTGTGAAATGGGTGTTCAGAAATACTGAACCATAGCCTCAGCTCAGCCTAGCACAAGGCACAGAGAAGTAAAGGGCATTAGGAGCTTGCCCAGGCTCTTTTTAGACTCCTCAGCTTAGTGGGTGAGGATGGAAAGGAAACAGCCACTGGGGTAGATGTGTGGAAAATGAGCATCCAGGGACACTGGGTATCACTGGTCCCACTCTGTGAGGGAAGCACAGGTAGAGGCTTCCCTGGTTTGTGAAACTCCAGACTTGGGAGTCTTCAGTTATGCTGGAAAAACCTGTTATATCTGTGACAAGTCTCAGAAGTGCAAATATATTCACCCATTATGGGTCTCTTCACTGCCAAATGGTGCCTCAGTGGGTTGGTAGCAGCCCAGCTGCTGAGCAGTGACTTGTGCTTTAACCATAAAATAAATCATAGAATCATAGAATGGTTTGGGTTTGAGGGGACCAGAAAGCTCATCCAGTTCCACCCCCTTCTACCACATCTTCCATTATCCCAGGTTCCTCCAAGCCCTGTCCACCCTGGCCTTGGACATTTTCCAGGGATGGGGCAGCCCCAGCTTCTCTGGGCAACCTGTGCCAGGGCCTCCCCACCCTCCCAGGGAAGAATTCCTTCTGTAATGCAGTACAAGAACAGAGTAAAAAGAGTAAAACTTCTTGTTTTAAGCCAGGTACAATTATCTGGGCACATATAAGTGATGTTTGGAGATTTGGGGTTAACATGTGTATCTGAAGGCAGTTTTTGGATTTAAAGGTCAGTTGTGTATGCTGATGAGAGGAGGCTGATTTATTAAACATACTTTTCCCATAATTTTTCATACTTTTGTGACTGTGTATCCCTACTCTCTTAAAGAACAGCCTTCACTTTAGCTGTTACATCATGAACTTGATATCTCTCCCTGGGAAAAGAAACACTTTTTTAGGGGAAAAAAGAAAAAGGATGGGAGAAAAAAAAAAAGAAGGAAGTGTTTGCAGAAGTTCAGAAAGCCTCAGATTCCTCCAGGGTCCCCAGCTGTGCTGTATGTTGTCCCAGCTGACTGCCAGATATTTCTGCTCTGCACATTAATGCAGTCACAGAGAGATCAAAGCAGCTGCTCTGAGAGTGCTTTGGGCCAAGTGTGGATGTCCTACCTCCGAACAGCCCTGAGCCTCCAGCCCTTTATTCCTCCCCTTACAGGCCTGGGGCTGAGCAGGGGCTCTCTGGAGCTCACTGTGGCAGTGCATTAAGTGATGGACAAATCTTCCAGTGCCTCGCTGCCCTGGAAACCAGATCTGCTGCTGGACCATTTCGGGTGATGGAGAGATTTTCTTTCCATGTTGAGAGCAAGAAGGGCAGTACTTCTCTGATGGTCCCATCATACCACATGTGCTGTGCTACCACTTGTTGAGAGTATTTTAGACAATACAGGACATAACATGTTGCTTCAGGCCTGCCTGCACAATCCAGCCCATGTGCAGGATGGTGAGAACCGTGTGCCTCGAGCAGATGTGTGTCCTTGAGCAGCAGATATGAGAAAGCTGCATGGAGGTAAACAAGAAGAAAGTATGTAATCCAGGGTGTTAGAAACCAGAGGATGGGAGGGCCTGGAAATGTCAGAGTGTGTGCCTTGAATAGCTGAACCAATAAAGTTATAGCTATAGTGTGTGAAAACTGATGTAACCAACAGAGAGTTAGGATAGAGCGTGTGAACCCTGTAGGACCCCATATACTGTGTGTGATTTTTTGCAATAAATGGAGCATTGACTTTACCTCTCTGAGGATGTGTCTTTGACTCTGGAAAATTGGAGCACTGACTATACCTCCATGAGGAAGTGTCTTTGACTCTGGAGCTCCTTTTTGCATCTTCTTGTTAAAACCACTCTTCACTGAGGTGCCTCCTTTGGAGACAAATGCTGGTGTGTGGCCAAGCACCAATGGCCTTGGGACAGCCCAGCTAATCCAGGGTGTTAGGAAGGCTCTGCCAGATTTGTTGGTTTACTGGTCTGATGTTAGCTTGGTCCAGCCACTGGCATGAAGCCAGGTTTTGGTAAGTGATGTCTGCAAGCAGAAACCCTTGTCACAGCTTTCCTGACATCCCAGAGGAAACTCTGTGTGGGGTTGTGGCTGTGCAGGGGAGCAGAGCTCTGTGCTGCAGCACCCTTGGTGGGGAAAACTATGTGGGGTCTCTGCAAGGTGGCAGGTTCTGTCCAGACCCGATATTCCAGCACTGGAACAGGCTGCCCAGGGATGTGGTGGAATTGCCACCCCTGGAAGTGCTCAAAAGGAGTGTGGATGTGGCACCTGGGCACGTGGTTCAGTGGTGAACGTGGCTGTGCTGGGTTAATGGTTGGACTTGATGACCTTGGAGGTTTTTTCCAACATTAGTGATTGTGATTTGTCACTGAAGAAGCACTGCAAGGCAGAAGTGCAGTAAAATGAGCACCTGACATATCACCCTTGATGAGGTGAAGATGCAGGGGGCTGGGCTGACCTGGACTGGCCATGCACGTGGTTCACCTGCTTCTTACATCTCTGAGTTGGGAGCTGCTGTGACTGTCACTCACATTTCCTCCTGCCCCTGTGTTATTCACTGTCCCTCAGCCTTCCATGGGGTTTTGTGTCCTTGTTGGGGGACTGTTTCTCTGTACAACGTCCTGTGGTTGCTTGTTATGCAGCTCAGATCAAAACCTTGTCACCAGCCAGTAAATGATTTGAAGCACTATTTCACATTTGCACAGTATCTTTTCACTCTATGAAGGAGATGGTTCTGAAATCATAGAATCACAGAATGGTTTGGGTTGGAAGGGACTGCAAAGATCATTTTAGTTCCAACCCCCCTGCCCTGGACAGGGACACCTTCCACCAGAATCAGTCCTCGTATCTTGCCTTTCTCTTTTTAAGTGTTTTTAAGGAACCATGACTGAACACAAAGGGAACAGGGAGATCTGCTGAAAATTGAAAATACTGGAGACAGTAAAGTGTGTTGTGCAAGGGCTTCTGTTGGCCAGAAGAAGTGAAATAACAGCTCACTTCCTAAAATGGAGATATCCCCACATTTTGTTCCTGGCTGAGGAGAACAGCTCTATTTACCATAGATCTGACAAGTCCCGGGGCATTTTGCACCCTATAAAATTCCTATAATTTACCTGAAACTGCCAATAAATTGACTGAAACCTAAATAGTGTATCTTCCTTGAAAAGAAGCTGCTGTTCTGTGCTTTTTTTTTTTTTTTTTTTTTTTTCTGTTTGGTCTGTTACTGCTTATATTGCTCCCAGATTCCCTGGGGCTCAAATGTTTCGGGCATGTTGTTAGCACAACAAATTTAAATTGGAACTCTGAAAATCCTATATTTGGAATTTATTTGCACGGTTAAGCAGCAAAAGACTGTTCCTTGAAAGGGGAGAGCAGTCAAGGTCCACCCGTGCAGTGTGGGGAAAATGACTGGTAGGTGACAGTGGAGGAAACCCAAATACACCATGGGACTCCTCACCCTGGGAATGATCCATCATTCCATCCAGAGGAGCAGTTAGCCTCCCTCTCTCTGTTTGGGATCCTAAGATTGCAGGTTAATTTTCATTTTAATTTTAACTTCACTCACCATTTAAGCCTTCCCCAAGACTTTGGGCAACATGACCTTCCCAAAACCTGAGGTGCTGCTCATGTTCTTCTATCACAATTTTTACCTCTTTTTGTTTTTTTCCCCCTTAAATGGCTGCAGCAGGATTGTATCATTAAGGTGTTTCCAGGTAAGTTATTTAACCAGATAGCACATTTGTTTAGCAGTAGCTCTGGACACTAGTTCCTTCCAGATGTCCTTGAAGCTGGCAGTGTCTTGCTCACAGTGCATTAATCGTGCAGCCTCTGCCTTGCCAGAGCTTGTGGACAGCATTTGTCCTGATGTTGCTTCCAGTGTGCCTGAGCATTTTTATCCATTTAAGGACTAGGGACTTGAATCTCTTCTCCTTCCATATGAGTTTCCCCATAGTTTTAGCCGTTTGACCAATGCAAGCTCTCATTTTGTAGTGAACTTTTTTCCACATTCATTTGTTCTTTCCCATTACAACTTGCCCAGCCCCTCACCACTCCAGAATTTTCCCTGCCACGCATTTTCTTCCTAAAAACTCCTTGATGGTATCTGTGGACCAGTTGTCTTGGCTTTCTGGAGCAAAACTCCTCTCTTTTGGGATGCATCGTGTGGAGTTTCACTGCTTGCCCCCGCAGTCCAGCTCAGCTTGGCCTTTCATGTTTGTTAGTCCTTCCAGGGTCTCAGCCCTGCTTGTTATCACCCACCTCATGCCCCTCCTAGGGTCTGATCTGCCTCGTGGCTCAGTGGAGATTTTCAACACCTTTAAAAGTCTCCAGAAACGAGGTTTTTACAGGATTGATGAAAATTGCATCCAGTCCACGGCTTAGTTTCAGAACCAAATCTGGCACCAGCCCAGCCTAAGCTGCACATCATGGTTCCACACAGATGTGCCCTCTGGCACGTCAGGTATGGATGTCCAATTAAATTAGAGGTAGTTAGCAAGTCACCCAGTTTCACTGTTCTGTTGCACAGCCCTCATTTACTCCTGTCCTGAATGTGTGACCAAAACACAAGCAAATCTGAAGAGATGTAGTTGAGCTGCTTCTAACAGGGTGCAGGTAAGGAGCAGAGGCAGGGATGTCAGGACCAAGAGGGACCACATGGCTGCTTCCACTTCATGGTTCCACTTATTTTAAGGCCAGGGACCAGGAACAGGGATATTTGTTCCATGAACACATTAGTTGAGTCATTCATACACATATGACCCTGATTACTGAAGTCATTCTATGGATTAACCCATTATGTATCTCTAGGGATAGATATATACACATTATATAAAGCCAGTGTAGTTTTTCAGCAGAAAAAAGGGGCAAAGTCCTGCCCTGATCCATACAATGGACATTTGCAGCCGTGTCTTCCAGCACAGTGACCTGGGCAGGGAGCTGAAGGGCAGAGGAATGAAATTTGGTGTGGGGAAACCTGAATTTCAGCTGCCCTTGCTCCGGGGCAAGACTGCATTTCAGCCCCCTTTGAGCACTACATGCAGCACAGACTGGTTCAGGTGGTGTCAGCAGGCCAACTAGGAATTTCTGCTTTAAACACAAGGGAAGCATTGAGTGGGTTTTTCTTTTGCTTTGTTCTTTCTTTCAGAAGAAATAAAAATGAGGGTGAAAGCCCTAGCAGTCACTGGGATTGTGGAGCTATACACTGGTCTGGGATCTGCCCTGAAATCCCAGCCCATGGGGAGCTCCCAGTCCTTCCTGGGGAAGGATTCACAGATATCAAATTCGGTATGAGATTCAGTATGAAACCTCTAACACTGATGGGAATAAATTAAAGAAAGATGACACGAGTTTTTCCTTAAAACCCCTTAAGGTTTGACTCAGTTTATTTGAGAAGAACTGAGGCAGAGATGGAAGAATAGCTTCCCTAGGGGCAGTGGCAAGGATGGACCAGGAGACCAGAGGGATCTGAGGTCTCCAACATCAGCTGCTGTGAGAAGGGAGGATCAATGCCATTTCCTTGAGGCAGAGCTCAAGGAAACTGAGAAAGGTGGGAAATACCCTCTAAAACAAACTTCTTTTCAAAGTCTTCAACTTGTGGTTTTTTCCTGTGTTCAGTCCTTTGGCCTGAAACTGCAGGTTTTTGGAATGGGAGGTTCCTTTTATCTGACTGAGAAGGTGTGTGTGTGGCTAACAGGATTCCTGGGACAAATGTGTCTCCAGCCTGTTAGCTCTGGGCTGGGATTCAGTCCATCAACTGTCTTTGAAAGTGGTTGTTTTCATTTCTGTCCTCCTTGGCACAGGAGGGACAGAGGCCATGACTAAACTTTTCTGGCTTCTGTGCCAGTGCAATCATGTGAGAGGTTCAGGGCTGAAGAAAATACCGAGGCCTCACATCTGAAATAGGAGGGATTTTTGCACATCAGATCAAAATGAGCAACCTCAGGCAAAAATCCAGGAGAAAGATGTTTCTCTCTGCAGGACACAAACCACCCAGCAGCACTTCCCAGCTCTGGTCAGAAGGAACAACAAGAGCAAAGGGTGGATGCAAAGGGCATTTGCAGCCTTTCTCCCTGGGCGGGCCCAGAAACCTCTGCCCTAATCCCCCAGCCCCAAAAATCTGCCTTTTCGCCCCAGAATCTGCCCTGGATCCCAAAATGCGAATTTTTTTACCTCAGAATTGTCTCTCAACACCTCAAAATCTGCCCCAGACCTCCAAAGTCTGCATTTTCACCTCAAAATTTCCTCCCACACTCCAAAATTTGCTCTTTTCACCCTCAAATCCGCATTTATTTTTTTTTTACTTCAGAAATTTCCCCCACACCCCAAAATCTGCCTCAGACTGCAAAACATGCATTTTTTTAACCCCAGGATTTCCCCACACACCCCCAATTCCACCTTTTTTTACCCCATGATGTACCCCAGACCCAAAAATCTGCATTTTTAACCTCAAAGTCTTCCCCTTTTACCTCAGGATTTTCTCCCAACCCCCTAAATCTCTCTTTTCACCCCAAAATCTGCATTTTTTTTACATCAGGATTTCCTCCCACACCCTCCACCATCACCCCCTGGGGTCTCTCATCTTTATCCTACTGATTGCCAGAATAACATCAGGAAAATCATGGAAATAAATGTATTTTTATCCTTGATGCTGTTGGATGATAATGGAAGTGAAGGAGCTGGATGTGTGGGAAAGCGGGATGATAAGGAATCAGGGGTGAGACTAAGTCCATCTCTCCCTGTGCATTTGCTGACCCCAGCAAAGGATGGATGCTCCAGAAATAATGAACTTTTATTAAAAATGAAGAAGGAAACCAGGAATCGCCTTGGTAACACATCCCTGGGTGCTGGGTTTTCCCTGGTTCTTGTACGTGGCCATGGTGTGGAAGGAGCTGGGAAACTGTGCTCTGGGAATTTTCCTGCCCCTGTGAGAAGTGGGGTATTCAGACTTTCACTAATTTGCTTTCTTTCAAGCTGTTTCACAGAGAAACTTGTTTTCTCCTGTCTGGATTTTCAGGGGAGGGATGATCACGGTTTTCAGCTCTGAATCGGATCAGAAGTGGGACAAGGACACTTTTTCCAGCTTCCCGCCCCGAGTGGCTGCCAGGAATGTCGGGCTCTCACGTCTGGCTTTTATTCTCTGAGAAATATTGTTTCATCCAAAAAAATTACCGAGAAAGCAGCTAAATGGCAAAGCTTTTTGGGACACGTTTTCAGCCAACCCCGTGCCACTGGGGGACGGAGGAGTGGTTTTGCAGAAGCAAAGGCTGTGCTTGTGTCTTCTCATACAGTAAACTCCCCAGGAAACGAGAGGGTGCAAAGTTAAATCAAAGCTTGAAGTTCTCCCAGATTAAGGTATTATTAGATTAAAGTATTACTAGAAAGCACCGAGTTTCTTTAAGCCCAGCTTGGGCAGTCAGTTGCTGTTTCAAGGAGGTGTTTGGCCGTGCCTGTAAAACATGAGACACCTCATGATGCAGTAAAGCTCTCTGCAGAAAATTGCGTCAGTGAAGTAAAGGAAAAAGATACTAATTGGAGGAAATGACTCGAATTTCTGCCTTGGATCAGCCAGTGTCCACCCCCGAGTTTCTGAAAAATGGCAAAGCCAAGGGCTTGGAGAGCTGGATGAGTTATTGGCTTGTTTTTGCTGTGTCCTGAGGAATTAGCCACGTTGGTAGGGTTGCAAGGGACACCCAGTATCAAGGCTTGTTTAGTGGTTAAGGACTGGGATGGTGTGAGAACACTGTGGGTTAAAAAAATGTGGGGAAAAGCTGCAATGAGAAGGGTCATTGCTGCAGAAGGATGGAAAGGCCCCATCTCGGTGCCCATCTCCCACTTGAGGGTAGGATTGCATCCCCAGGGGGATTGTAGGGAGAAGCAGCCCCCTGCTCCACCAGAGCACATCTCTGATTCCCACTCTAAAGGGAAACAGCTTAAAACGTGCTTGAACCCCACTCACTTCTCACATCCTTCAGGACATCAGCAGGGCTGGATTTGCCACTGTAAGGAAAGTCTCCTTATCCACTTTGCCTTGCTAACAAAATAATTCCAGAGAAGTCCCAGTGCAGGTGGGTTGTAGCTGCCCGAGGACTGGGTTCTTCTCAGTCCCCCAGTGATGGATCATCAATTTTGTTGGCAGAGTTTGCTGGCTCTGGGTGTACAACCCCCCTCCATCTCCGGGCTCTGCCCAAGCCAGCCCGT